TGGAGAATAAAGGACTTGGAAACTACCCAACTTGTAAATAATCCACCACTTAGCCCTGTAAGTCACTTTCCTCAGCAGCGGATATGAGTACTTGGAACTGGCCCTTCGTGTAGAGAACGGCATCTGGTTACAGGTGCAGTCAAAGGTAGGTTCCTCACACCAAAGGGCACGTGTGAGCTGATAATCTAGAAAACTATTCGTGGCCATGGCAGTCTTTCTCTATGCTGAGGAGTATGAAGGGACTTTAAAAAGTTCACGGGAAGGGGGGTTATTCTATTATATTTTAATTTCATGTTTTCAGGAACTTTTTGAAACTTGCTCATCTGTGCTTATGCATTTTGAAGATTGCTGACTCTTTATTTTACCAAAATCAAGTAGTCAGCACTATTTGTTGAGTGATCACGACACAGTACTTAACATTTTCTAGGATATCCATATGAAACTCACTAACTGAGATTCAACCCGATTATTGAACTAAATGTCCTTTTAGATATATTCACCTGACTTTTCCCTTGAGAAATCTTTTTTTGGTCATCTCTATTGAGATCAGATATAGCTCAGCATACAACCAGGGAAAACCATGCTATCCAGGGAATAAACAAATTCAACATTGATTCTGACATGCCTAGTTTGAGAAATCCTAGGTGTGATGCATCACTGTGTTAGTCTGGGTTGACTAAGGAAACGAATCCAGAGAGATAATCATATGTGTATAAGAGAGAACGTTATATCAAAGAGCAATTTTACATTAAGAAAACATCCCAGCCCAGTCCAGATCAAGTCCATCATTCTGTTATTAGCCCATAGATCCAATACCCATCTATAAATTCCTCTTCAGACTCACACAGCACATGCAATGATGCAGAATGCATCAAGATCACAGGCCAGTGGTGGAAAGTCTCATGGATCCAGTCAGTGGAAGCATCTCAGTGCTGGCAGGGGTCTCCACATGGCTCCTTCAGCTCCAGGGCTGTAGTCTAACTCCATGTGACTTGTCAGCAGGAATATCTCAAAGGGAGTCAGTCTGTGTCCCACGTCCAGTGAGCTATTTATCTCCTCAGTGCCTCCAAATGAGGTCATCATACTGCAACCTGATTGACAGACTAGACTCCACCTCTTCATTCTTACACCAGATTACACCTCAAATTGACACCAGATTATGTAACTACCACAATCACTATCAAGTTTATCTCGATATTATTTTAACATTGAATATTTTTAAGCTGTTTAAACTTAGCACATTTATCCTTAACTAGTATTTTTAGCGAATGCTTTGAAAACACTGGAGTACCTCTCATAAAGCAGTAGAATGCTTTTGAAAAGTGATACATTAATAGCTGGTTTATGAATTGAATGATGTTGCTGGTATATTAGAGAAAGCATTATTCAAAGAATCCAAATTTCTTTTAAAATATTTTTGTACATATATACGTATATATGACAAAACATTTCCCCTTTCAACATTTTTCATATGTATGTATGTTTCTATTAATTCTATTATTAATACTTTCTATATTAAATCATATATTTAATTATACCTATCAAGTCACATTTAAAACATAAAGAGAGGCGCTTTGCCTAGTGAAAAACATTCCTTAATATGTCTCATTAAGTTTTCATTGTCATAAAATATTTGCTCAGACATGGGGCGAGGGAAAGGCCCACACCTGCCTCATTTTACTCGTGTTGTTTTACTGGTTTTTGCCTCCTTTTTACTTTGCAACACAACGTATTCTTTTCTCAGGTCTTATACAGGGCTCAGCAACTTGCTTATGTAAAAAATTATTTCCAAATTTAAAACAATAAACATGTAACGCTGACTGTAACGAAAGATTTAAAATATATACTTTTAGGTCTTTCGGACTCTTGAGTCTTATTTCTTTGGAACATAAGTAACAGCCATGATAAAAGAGATCTTTTGGTTGATAAATATTAACTAGAAGTATCTCATATAGCTGCCTTAAAAATAATTAGCTTTGATTTAACTTTAAACATGCAATGCAATAATTGTTTCAGTTTGGTCATGTTGTTCGGGGCTGTGTTGTGGTTTGTATTGGATGTAATGGAAATTTTGAGGGCCTTTGTCTGCATTTCAGGATCCCTGGTGGCACAGTGTATGGTACTAACCAGCTGTTTGAAGTAACTAGTTTCTCCCAGTAATCACTCCAAGGGAGAAAGATGATGCTTTTTACAGCCTCTTAAACCTAAAGAGGTAACTCTATCCTATAGGGACACGATGGTATCAACTTAATGGTAGTAGGGAGGTGTATTCTTTTTCTCACTGTTGGATTTTAAGTTTCTCCAATAAAATCTTCTAAACCAGCATTTAGGATATTATAGAATTCATTCAGTGGAAACGGGGAGGATCTTAAACAAGACAGATCGATACAGTGGCCACACAACTGGGCTCAAGCATCAGAACAATTGTGAAGTTGGTGCAGGACTGGGCAGTGTTTCCTTCTGTGGTGCATAGGGTCACTGTGGGTTGGACTTAGCTAGATGGGTCCTAACAGAATTCATCCCAAGTCGTGTGGTTCAACAGTATGCTCTGTTGGATAAAGGAAATTCCCTTCTGTGATGATTAAGGTTGTCTGTCAGCTTAGCTGGGCTATGAAACTCAGTGGTTTCCTTTCACATAATGACATGTGATATAATGTAATGGTTTCCATGTTGAGATCGGCTGTGAGCCGCCAACCAATGGAAAAAGTGTTGCTAGGGATTTAGCCAGCTTTCAATATCTGTGGATGTTTGATTTTTGCTGGATCTCAATCCTATATCATCTGATCTCTGGTTCTTTGGATTTGAACCAGTGGCCTGCCAGATTACCTGTTGATCTTGGGAATCGTTGTCCTCTGCAGCCTGTGAGGAAAGACCTGCCATCTGAACTGCCAATCTTGGATTCTTTTACCTCCACAGCAGCAGCTGCCCTCCTAGCTGCCCTTCTTGGGTCTATCAGCCCCTGAAGCTGAGCAAGTCAGGAGGAGCCTCCGGCTTGGCATCCGATACACGGACTTGGAACTTGCCAGATTCTAGAATCACATGAGGCATTTCCTGGAGAGGAATTTCTCTCTGTATGAGGGGCTTCAAAAAGTTCCTAGGAAAATGAGATTAAAGATAACAGAATTTTTCCACAAATGTTAAAAATTCCTCTTTATATATACATGCATCAACTTCTCTGGTTTTGCATCTATAGAGAACTCAGCCCACAATACCTTTTATTCTCAATTTGCTAAAACTTTAGTTGCAAATGAATGCTAATTTTATTCAACATTTTTCTACATCTAGAGAAATGGTCATGGGTCTTTTTTTCATTAGTCTGATAATGTGGCAAACATATAAGGTAATTTTCTAATACTGAATCCACTGCACATTACAGGGATAAAACTAACTTGGTCAGGTTTTATTGGATTTGGGATATTGATTACCCTGTCATTATTCTTTCTCCTACTCCTCTTATGTGGTTTTAATATCACAATATGCTATCTTCATAAAACATGTTTAAAAAACCTCATTGTTGTTGAATCGATGCCGACTCATAGGGATCCTACAGGACAGCATAGAACTGCCCTGGTCAATTGCTGAGACTGTTATTGTGAGCGGGAGTAGAAAGCCCTGTTTTTCTTCTGTCTTTGCTGGCTTAGAACGTCAGACCTTGCCGAACACAGTACACAACCACTATACCACCAGGACTCCTAAACCCTTCATAATATAAAAACATATTTTATATCATGTTATATTAATAAATGTTTATATGACTGTTTATTAATGAATGTATTTGTATTAATTAATATAGCATTAGCATGTTTGTATTAATATAAAATAAGTTTTTTATTAAGGGATATTCATTAAATGTGTTCTAGGGAAGAGCTTGTGTAATATTGCATTTATATTCCTTGACTTTTTCCTAGACTGCTCTCCAAACTGTCCCTGGGTTTCTTTTCAGATTTTTGTGGGATAATTTAATAAGGATATGAATAGCATTGTTTTAGTAGACACAAGTCTGTGACTTGTCTTAATATCAATGCACATTAAGGACTCCTGTCAGTGGTGCGGGTTAAGTGTTGGGATGCTAACTGCAATGTTAGCAGTTCAAACCTACCAGCCTCCATGAGAGAAAGATGAGGCTGTTTGCTCTTGTGAAGAGCCCATGTAGGGTTGCTAGGAACTAGAATTGACTCAAAGGTGATTGTTTGTTTGTTTGTTTGGCACAGTGGCTCACGAGTTTGGTTGCTAACCAAAATGTGGGCATTTCAGACCTATAAGCTGCTCCTCATTCTGCTTGTACAAATATTTTCCAGCCTTGGGAACCATATCAGCCAGTTCTAATCTGTCCAGTAAAGTCACAGAATAGGAATCAACTTAATGGCAATAAGTTTATATTTCAGTATCCTTACACCTCTGAACATTCACACACATATATAATTAATTATATTTCTATTGGTATAGCTATTTTCATCTTTTCAAAAGATTTATTAGCAATTGGGAGTTAATACATTCCATAGTTCAATCACATCAAGCAGTATTTATTGTACAATTGCTACCACAATCAGTTTCCAAATATTCTTTTCCTCTCTGGACTCCTTGACCTTTCCTCCCTTTTCCTCCCCCTTCAGATCCCTGTAAATGGTGAAAACTTATTAGTATTTTGCAAGAGAGCTAATTTACTCCATTGTCTCAAGAGAAAGAGTTTAGATATTTTCCAAATTTCTGACAGAAAGAAACCAAGAGCAAATTTGTATAGTTTATACCAGTGGAATAGAATTACATTCCAGAAATAAATTTATACATCTATGACCAATTAATTTAACAAGGGCGTCAAGTGTATTCAACGAGGAACGAATGGTCTCTTCAACAAATGGTGCTGTGACAATTGGATCTTCACACACATAAAACGAAACTGGACCTATGCCCCAACCATTTGTAAAAATAAATTCTCAATGGAGCCATTGCTTAAATATAAAAGCTAAAACTGTAACATTCTTAGAGGAAAACATACACGCATACTTACCTGGCAGGGGAGATACCATGACCATGATGATGGTTTTTCCCAGGGCAAGACTTATCCATTGCACTCCAGATGTGAAGACCCCTGTGGTCTCCCCAAATGTGGGAACCTCAACTGCATACTTTGGGGTAGCGGGGCACTATATTTCTGATCTCCCCTGTTTTAAAAAAAAAGAAAGAAAAGAAAACATAAGGATAAGGTTTCAACCTTGTTTTTAACAACTAATTTTTAGTTATGGGGGGAGAAAGCAACAAAAATCAAAATTGATTAATCATATTTCATCAAAATGAAAAACTTTTATGCAACAAAACTTTACTTAAAAAAGTGGAAAGGCACCCTGAAGAATAAGAGAACATATTTGGGAACTATAGCTCTGATCTAAGTGTACTATCCTGTACATAAAGAATTCCTATAATGCAACAACACATAGACAAACAGTCCAATTTTTTAAAATGGGCAAAGGTCTTGAATAGATATTTCTTCAAAAATATGTACATATGAACAATAAGCACGAATTATCCAATAATTCTGCTCAACTTAATTAGAAAAAATAATAAGCAACAAGTATGCTCAATGTAATTAGCCATTTGGGAAATGCAGACCAGAGGCTCCATGAAATCCTACTTCTCGCCCACTAGGATGTAATTATTAGAAGGAATGAGTGCAAAAGAACAAGTGTGGGAAAAGATGTGGAGAAATTGGAACCCTCATCCATGACTGGAGGGATTTTAAAATGGTGTAACTGCTGTGGGAAAGTTTGACAGTAATTATTCTTAATTAATTAATTTTTCTAATTACCATATGACCCAGAAATTTCACTATAATTATATAGGAACTCAGATACCTGCATGCCCATGTTTGCTGCAGCATTAATCACAATGGCCAAAGAGTAGAAACAGTGCAAATGTCCACCAACTGATGTATAAACAAAATGTATGTGCTACAACGGAGTATCATTAAGCCATAACGAGAAATTAAAGTTCTGATATATGCTATAATATGAGTGAAGCTTGCAAGCATTTTATTGAGTGAAATAAGCCAGACACAAAAAGGAAAGTGTCACATGTCTGTGTGATTCCACGTACATGAAGCACCTAGACTAGGCATAGAAACAGAAAGTAGTTTCTTACCAGAAGCTGAAAACATGGGGAAATGCTTTATGAGTACTGAGCTTCTGATTGATGAAAAATTTCTCAATGAATAGTGGTGATGGTTACACAACATCGTGAATGCAATTAATGTCACTGAATTGCATACCTAAAACAGGACATTTTTGCCATATATAGTTATCCTAGTAAAACAAAGAAGTTACATATTTGAGAACTAGTCTTATCATTTACAAGTTTCTCCCCCACACACCCTCCTTCTATTACTTCTGCTGTATACTTCCAGCCATCCTTACTTCCACCTACAAGAATATATCTAGGGTTAAAAATTATTTTACAATCTGCTATATGTTTCATTTTAGTCATTTTATACCTACTTATTCCTGAGTTACTTCCTCCCAGAAGGTTAGCCCCAAATCAAGAAAGCAAATACCCTAAGTCTTTTAAAATATAAGAATTGTAAATAATTGTTCCCTAGCTTTGTACATAAATACTTCAAGCTTAGCAGAAAGGGGTGCTGTTCAGAGTGTTGTTTTTGAGTCTGTATTGAGGACAAAGACTACGAAAGCTAACAATCACCAGGATATTGAAATCTATGTTATTCTTATATTACTTTTACAGAAAAGAAAAGGAAACAAGAAAGGATAGAAAAGGAACAATCAACTGGGGCAGAAAATAGGTTGGAAATTCTTATTTTGGTTTACTACTAATGGTTTTCTCTTCGGTTAACCCCACAACGTTTTGTCTCCAACATGCTTATTCAGGATAACCAGATGTATGAGATGCTGACATCTCGTTCATGTTGGGCACCCATTATACCACACAAGCCACACCCCCTCCCAAAAAAACACCAATTTTAATATATTCTTGTAGGCACTGGTAAAATTGACATTTCCACTGTATTTGGTCTTCCTACACAGGAGCATGAGAAATTCTTAGTTCAATCATATTAAGAAGAGTTGTGCAATCATGACCACATTTTCTCCAAACCTCTCTTACCATGTTCATAGCTTGGTATTAATCCAGTTATTTATCTCTATAGATTTACCTATTCTGAATTTCATTTACAGAAAATCATACAAAACAAAAGCAAATGACAACAAAAAGAACCAACAATAATGACAAAACAAAGGAGAAAACGTCAATTGAAAGGAAAGCAACACATATTAAAAACAGAAACAAGTTTAGAATGGGTCAAAAAGGAGATCAAATCATAATGTGTTACATTTTAACCTAATCTGCCTTAAGGGACTTTCCAGTGCTCTCTATTTTACAGCAAGGTTATTCACATCCCTCCACCATTGGCCCGAGGGGAATTCATCTGACGGTTAATCTAAGCAGGGATCCTGTAAATGAACTTTGAGTTTCTACTGTCATCTTAGCCTTCTGTAAACCTGATGCTCAGAATTTAAGCTCTGATACTGTTACCTCCTCTGGATTTTGGATTTTATTATGTACAGTCCTTGGATCACAGAAACTGGCGTGCTTCTCTCTATGATGGATTTAGTTGACACCTCCCTTAGATAGCTGCTTGTTTAAGATAAGCCTTTAAGACCCCAGGCCCTATTATTTCTGATAGCCAAGCACCACATGATTTCTTCACTGCACTTTGCTGTAGCACACATGTCTTCAGTGAGCTCCTCATGAGTGCAAGTATATGTGCTTGATTTCCTGACTGCTGCCTCCATGGGCATTAATTATGGATACAAGTAAAATGAAATCCTTGGAAATTTTGAACTTTTATCCATTTGTCATATTGTTTATTGGTCCAGTTGGGAGAATTTTTGTTTTCTTATGTTGAGGTGTAATCCATACTGAAGGCTGTAGTCTTTGATTTTCATTGGTAAGTGCTTCAAGTCCTCTTCACTTATACCAAACAAAGCTGTGATATTTGCATATGGCAGGCTGTTAATGAGTCTTTTTCAATCCTCCTGGGAAGCTCCTTGTTTTCAGAGGCTGGCTTATCATATTACCAGCCCAGCATATAGATTGAATAAACAGGATGAAAGGATTCAGTATCCCTTTGTTGTCTGGAATAACTAACTGCTTCTTGGTCTATATACTGATTCCTCATAAGCACAACTAAGTGGACTGGGTTTCCATTCTTTGCAAAGTTATCCATAAATTTGTTATGATCCACACAGCTGGATGCTTGGTTTTGTTGATAAAACACAAATAAATATCTTTCTGGAAACAATTGTGTTAGGCAGGGTTCTCTAGAGCAACAAAACCAGGATACTTATGATTATAGATAGATAGACAGATTTATACAGCAAGAAGGAATATAACAGTTAATTAGTCCGCACAGCAGTACAGGGGGCTCAGTTCAACTCACAGCTCTGGAAGAGTTAATTTACTGGAAGTTCTTCAACTCATGAGGGCTGCTGGGTCTGAGGTCAAGAAAGCAGACAGCTGAGTCTTCCCATGGGAAATACAGGCAATCCGTACACAGGCAGCAAACAGCAGGGTGAGTCACCAATAGTCAGCAGTTCAGGAGCTTGGTGAAGCAGGCCTGATGGGATATTGAACCCAAGCAATGCAAGACAACAGGATCCACCAGCCTCAAGCTCAAGCAATGTATATACCAGCAGCGTGAAGAAACAGGTCTCAAATGAACCTCAAGCTCTAGTGACATGATTCAAGGGTTGGTTGGTCTGAAGTTCATGACCTAGCCCAAGGTTGAGAACTTGTGATGGGGCCCATGGTCTAAAGGCAAGGCAGCCAATGGCCACCCCTGGCGAGACTAAGTGAGGCAACCCTCATTGAGTTGACCAGAATCCCACCAGATGAAGAGAAGATATTTGAGCCTGTGAACTGGTGCATGTTGCTGTTGACTTTATGGATGGCCTATCCTTATTTGACTTTGCTTATGGATTCGGATTTCACAAGGTTCCAACTGGAATGAAAATTCTTCACATTAAACAATATGAATGTATCTATATTTGTTCTCTAGTCAATCCAGCCTAACACATCAGCCCAGCATATAGATTGAATAAGCAGGGTGAAAGGATTCAGTATCCCTTTGTTGTCTGGAATAACTAACTGTTGCTTGGTCTCTATACTGGTTCCTCCTAAGCACAACTAAGCGTCCTGGGTTTCCATTCTTTGCAAAGTTATCCATAATTTGTTATGATCCACACAGTTGGATGCTTTTGTTTAGTTGATAAAACACAAATAAATATATTCCTCATATTTTATGCTTTCAATCAAGGTCCATCTGCTATCACTCAAAGCACATTTTGAATTTCTGGTAGTTCTCTGTAGATGTACTGTTGCAGCTATTTTTAAAATTATCATCAGCAAAATTTTCCTTGCATGTGATATTAATTATACTATTCAATAATGTCTGCATCCCATTGGATACTCTTTCTTTGGAATGGGTACAGATATGGATCTCTTCTGTCAGTGGACCAGATAGTTATATTTCAAAATGCTTGGCGTAGAATATTGAGCATCTCAGACCCTGTATCAGTTTGTTCAAATCTTTCCGTTGCTATTCTGTTAGTTCTTGGAGTCTTGTTTTTCACCAATAGCTTCAGTGGAGCTTGGACTTCGTCCTTTCATACCATCAGCTCTTGATCATACGCTGTCTTCTAAAATGGTTAAACACTTCCTTAATTTTTTTTGGCACAGTGATTTGTGTATTCCTTCCAGCTTATTTTGTTGCTTCCTATATTATTCGATACTTTTCCTCAGACTATATGTGTATAGGTGGACAATTTTGATTGGAAAAAAAAACACAAGAAGACATAAAAAAAAAAGGAGGAATAAAGAAAATCAACAATCGGCTAATCTTAACATGATTAATTGAATGCTGACTTCACCTTATTACTGAAATCAACTCACATCAGGGCAGTGGTAGTCTTGGGCGCTTTACCTAAGCATGTCTTAGGTATTGATATTTGATATTTGATACTTGCAAGGGAAAAAAGGCTTGCAACTTTGGATCAGAAAACAACCACTGGCAGATTCATTTTGGTCAAGAATTTCCTCTCCTTTTTGAACAATTTTATTATTATCTTTTTACAATAGTTCATCTTTATTTGAAAGCCTC